GTTATCCACAGGTATCACCCTACGCAAACTCACTGGCACTTGTGATAGGCAGAGTCGTGAAGACAAAGCTGGGTTCTGTCAGGATTATCACACCTTCAACTTACAACAAATTCTCGAACACCACCACATACACAGGCCAAGAATAGTTGTGTTCTTAGACCTAAAAGGCGGTCCGACTGAGTCAGTTGAACTGCTTTGCGGTGGTATCTTACCTTTAGAGATATGCCGAACATTTTCGCCATACTCCAATCCCTATATTACGACACCCATTGGTGCGTAAAAGTCTAGAGAAGGTAAACCCCTGACTCCACCACCAAAAGTGGTGTCCATCAGCATCGCCCTTTACCACCTTTCCTTATCGACACTTCGCAACCGAATTAACTGTCGAATAAACGTCTGTCGTCTCCTATCTTTGGCTTGGGCTTTCGTTCTGGGGAAGACCTTAAAAATTTAGACTGCCGAAGATGTACTGCTGTGTCCAGATTCTATCTAGATGCAAAGTAGGTTCCACGCCAGGAAATTTCTGAGCCCGAGTTCAATAGGAGAATTGTCAACGACAAAATTGGTATGGCTGCAAAAAGATGGATGACCCATAAAAATAAAGGAGACTACCGAGATTTGGGCACAGGATTCACTTTATTCGATAGTCACACTATGGCAAAGAGAACTAAGAAAGTCCCATATGTTGGGCATCTTATATTGTAAGAATAAATTTATCGTCCTTCGGCTTATCGTCTGTTTCGGATACTACTGTTTCTTCGGGGAAGTTGACCGCAACTGCCGAATGAGGATGGACTAATTTTGGTGGATCGAACTTGAAGGAAGGAAACTGGGTCATATCTTGACCTGTGGCTCCGAATATTTTGTCAATTTTTGCGAGCATATCACTGAGTTCCTTTAATTCAGCGGGTGTGGCATTAGCTAGTCCCATCTCTGCCGTCCTAGCGAAGTGATTGGCTGGTAAATCAAGCTATCGATACCTACTTGCTTTTCTGGTTGTACTCCTGTATTTTTGCAACAAATGCCTTCTGTATAGCATCCAATTGGGTAGCTGCGGGGGCCTTGGTGGTTACGGTGCGGCAGAGAGGTAGCCACATGCAAGGACGGAGGAGAATCCCAGCATTCATTCTCGGAACGTACACGTTTGAACTGAGCGGTGTGGAATTCTTGGCCTTCATATCAAGTCGTTCAGTTTAGGTTCACGGATTCACGGATTCACGGGTTGATNAGCCTTGAGGAACTCCGATGGAGACCGACGCTGGAGAAGTGTAAGCCGAGGCTATTCCCCGTCGGAATGATCTGTTTGATAGGAACGCCCCGATCCAGCGAAAGATTATCCCTTGAATCCCGTAAGACTCGAGTTTGTGGAGAATCGGGACATGTGGGACCCTATCAAATGCTTTTGAGAAGTCGAAAAATATCGCATCCGATATGGGTCCTTCGTCCTTGGCTTGGGTTAACCTGTCCATAAACACGAGCATTTTTGTCAGGCAAGAGGGGTTTGGGAGAAATCCGTGTTGGGCTGGAGATATCAGGTTGCTGGAAGTAAGGTGATCTGGGTGATATCATCAGTGCGTTATTAGGGAGTGTGTTGGTGAAAGGAAGAATGCCTTCGCTTCGGAGTTATTCATTCGGAAATGCCAACTGATCGGTTACAGACCATTGAACAAGGAAGCAAAACTCTCATCTGCATCTTAGTTACAAGACCTGGACACAGATCTTCTCCGAAACGAGTCTTCCTGGAGATTCATTGCGTCCAATCATTCATCGGTCAAATAAAAGCAAATGTTACAAAGTGGCCCCACGAATTCCGCAACAGAATTCCCTTTTCAGTCGACGCAAAGCGAAATTCTACGAACAGCTCATACTACTCGCGTGCCTCCCGATCAGTAGTATCACCGTTACACACCTCCACCCCTTATAGCTCGTTCGCGTGCCATCGATTTTCATTTCCCTCCGCCAGGTCGGCTTCGGCAGCGGGTCTATTCGGTCGTTCTTTAGGTGTATCATGCCACTTGCGAAGCTGCGTCCCATTTACTGCTTTCGATCCCCGACCATCTTGAATGGTATAGACGTTCCCCCGGCGGCCGGTGACGGCAAACGGCCCTTGCCATCGACTGATCAGCTTCCACCACCCCAGTCCACTGCTTCTAGGATTCTGGTGATCCTACCACTTGACCTTCGTGCCTATGGGGAACGTTCGGACCTTTCTACCTGCCGTTTTCTGCCTAGTCCTTTCCTGAACGGCGGTCGAATTTTCTCCAGCTCACCTTCTTCCTTCCTCTAGCTCCTTCAGAGACAAGCGTTTTGCCGGCAACAACCCAATTTCCTGACCAACCGGAAGGTGCGAATGTCGGCCGTACATCAGCATAAACGGGCAGTTGCCTGTGCTTGACTCTGTGGAAACACGATGAGCTAACAACACCATTGGCAAGTTCATTTTCCA